GGAAGTCCCTCTGCCCAAAGTTCGTGCCCAGGGAGAAACAGAAGTATTAAAAGTTATTCGAACAGGAAAGAGAAAGAAGAAGGCATGGAAGAGGATGGTTACTAAAGTCTGCTTTGTTGGAGATGGCTTTACAAGAAAACCACCTAAATATGAAAGATTCATCAGGCCAATGGTAAGTCCTTGAAAGATGCAGTGACTTAAGTATTAGTTCTTGTTAAATGGGATAAAGTACATTATAATTTCCTGAAATGTTTATTTTTTTAGAGATGGGGTCTTGCTGTATTCCCCAGGCATGAGTGCAGTGGTGTAATAATAGCTCACTATAACCTCAAATTGGTGGTCTCAAATAATCTTCCCACCTCAACCTCCTACATAGTAGGAGGACTACGGAGTAGTTTGGACTACGGGCATGCTCCACCAGGCCCAGCTAATTTTTTAATTTTTTATAGAGATGGGGTCATCTAAGGCAGTGATGCCCAAGCTGGTGTCAAACTTAAGCAGGCCTCCTGCCTTAGCATCCTAAAGTGCTGAGATTATAGGTGTGAGCCGTTGTGCCTGGCTGACTTCCTAAAATTCTTAAAATAGACATTAAAAAAAAGTAGAAAGATATTTTTGTGCTATTTTTGTTGTTTCAAGTTATTATTAAGGGTACTTCGTACTTTTGCCACTACAATCAGGAATTTTGTCTTCAATTCCATAAGAAGTTTGAAGTAAAAAAGAATATCCATAAGAGTGTTTTTAGTAAATTCTGATTTAAACATATTAGAATCTTAATTTTCTGCACAAATTCATATTTTATTCATTTAGTAAGTGATATATACCTGACACTGCTAGGTCTCAAACATTTCTCTTTGACAGGTTAGAAAATTTGAGTAAGACTTGTCCTGTAGTAAGGAAAATATCTTCGTGCTTTTGAAAATACTCAGTATGCTGTCAGTGGAAAAAGAAAGGGAATTTGAAAATAGCTTGATTTCTGTTGACACCATTAGTAGTAATATGCCTCCAAATTAAATCCCATCCTTACCCATAGAGAAAAATATAATTGAAGATATGCTACATTTTGCTGTATGTAACACACTTTTTACCCAAATTTTTGAGGGCAAAATAAGGATGCACATTATACAGTGAGTTCCCAAAAAATGCATACACAGGGCAGTACCTATGGCTCAGTGAGTAGGGTACCGGTCCCATATACCAAGGGTGGCATGTTTGAACCTGGCCCCAGCCAAACTGCAACAAAAATATAGCCAGGTGTTGTGGCAGACGCCACTCGGGAGGCTGAGGCAAGAGAATCGGCTAAGCCCAAGAGCTGGAGGTTGCTGTGAGCTGTGATGCAACGGCATTCCACCGAGGGCAACAAAGTGAGACTCTGTCTCTTAAAAAGAAAATACACATTTTAAGAGAAAAGGCTGTCCCATTTCTGCCTGTCACATGGTGATGCTAGTATTCATTTGATTAACACCATCTTTTGAGCAAGGGTCATACTACACATTGCTATTATAATTTAATTCAATGTGAAAAAGTAATACATACATAGATATATCTCTCTTAAAAAGTGTATACATTTTTTGGCATACCCAGTACATGGGTAGTATGGCTTGGGAGTAGGGGAGCCTACCAGGCCTCTAAGGACTGCTGTACCCTCCTGCCTAGGCCCACTGGGTCACAGGATTCTAGTTCTGGAGGATCCAGGATCTGGTGGGAGGGCATTGACAAGGTGGACCATGATCATGTAGAACAGGGCCTGAGGCCCGGTCACACAGGACAGGCTCCAGGAACCTGCCTACCTGTGTGAGCAGCCTCAAATGCTCCCACCCCACTGACCACAGGCCTGGCCATCTTGGCCACAGCATCGGATGCATCAGGGAGTAAAGGACTTTGGGGAGAGAAAGAAGGGACAGCCTTCACAGAGCGGGCAGCTACAGAAGGGTGGTACAATCAGCACATTTACTAGGGGAGCATTAGCCCTACCCAGGTGTGTCTCTCCCAGCTTAGAACCAGCCCATTTTCTCAAGGAACTTTTTCCTAAAAGGTTGTGCCAAAAACGTGGGTATACATTGTACATGGCAAATATAGAATATTTGTAAAATCCCTTTAAGAGACTGAATTATTTTCCCAGCTAGGTATCCAGCCTACTTAGAAAAACAGAATCAGAGAAAGCAAAGGATGTTAATCCTGATGCTCACCCTGAGTAATTATTGAGGATTAAAATATTGGCAAACAACCTATTTCTGTAATAAAGTTTTACTGGAACACAGCCACGCCTATTCAGTTTACATTTTGCATAAGTCTGGGTCTCCTCTCCAACAGAGTTGAGTAGTTACAAGAGACTATATGGCCTTTGCAAAGCCTAAAATATTTACATCTAGTCCTCTATAGAAAATCATTTGTCTGCCCCTGGATTCTATCATGGACTCCCCTTGATTTCATGTTCATAATCTTACAAATACATTCTGATAACCTTATCAGTTCTAAGGTAGAGAATAGTCGGGCTGTTCTAGGTTTTCTGTAGCTTGGCAGATTTTTCCATTGTATTCAGGTAGCATTCTGAATGATGTAGTTCCTTAAAAGGTTGATTAGTCTGTTACTCAGAACCTGATTTTATGTTAACTCTTACCACATATACAGGCAAAAATTAAAACTACTAAGTGTTGTGACATAAATTTTATTTTTTGAGACAGTCTCATTGTGTCGCCCTTGGTAAGAGTAATGTGGTGTCACAGCTCACAGCAACCTCAAAATCTTGAGCTTGAGCCATTCTCTTGCCTCAGTCTCCCAAGTAGCTGGGACCATAGGCTCCCGCCACAATGCCCAGCTATTTTTTTTTTTTAACCCGAGATAGTCTATGTCACCCTCAGTAGACAGCTCACAGCAACCTCAAACACTTGGACTTAAGCAATTCTCTTGCCTCAGCCTCCCAAGTAGCTAGGACTACAGGTGCCCACCACAACACTCGGCTATTTTTTTTGTGGTAGTTGTCATTGTTTTAGCTGGCTGGGGCTGGGTTCGAACCCACCGGCCTTGGTGTATGTGGCTGATGCCTCACCTGCTGAGCTACAGGTGCTGCTGACTAGCTGATTTTTTGTTCTTGTTGCAGTTGTCATTTAATTGGCCCCACCTGGGTTCGAACCCACCAGCCTTAGTGTACGTGGTCGGTGCCATAACCACTGCGCTGTGGGCCCCGAGCTTGTGGCATTTTGAGCACTATACTCTCTAAGTGGCTGGGTGGCTCTGTATGTAACTGGTCTCTGTAACCGACCTCTCTGGACCTTCTCCAGTTGGCCGTCAACACAAAGTTGACAGTCCACTCCTTTTTTCATCATGGAAGGTAGTTGAGGTATATGTAGACTTGGAATCAAGAGTATTTAGATTTGATTCCATTTACCACACACCATTTAATCTGGAAAAAAGTCACTTAGCCTGCTGATCCCTGTCATCTGAAAAAAGGTGATGAAAGGATAAGCCAGATTGAATTCTAGCATAGTGTGCATGGCATGTATCAAGTCCTTAGTAAATGTAGATAACCAGGTGACAGAAACTCCTGAGTACGTTGCTTGGCAGCTATTACATGGTGCTAACTTTTGAAGCTGGGCGTGGTGGCTCATGCCTGTTGTCCCAACACTGTGGGAGGCCAAGGCGGGTGGATTACCTGTGCTCAGAGGTTCGAAACCAGCATGAGCCAGAATGAGACCCCATCTCTACCAAAAATTGCCGGGCGTTCTGGCAGGCGCCTGTAATCCCAGCTACTTGGGAGGCTGAGGCTAGAGAATCACTTAAACCCAGGGACCCAGGGGTTGGCGGAGGTTGCTGTGAGCTATGATTCCACAGTGCTCTACTGAAGGACACAAAGTAAGACTCTGTCTCCATAAAAAAATAAATAAGAGCAAACTTTAAAAAAACAAAACTTTTGAGGAGTACAAATGTGAGTGTTTTCCCCACATTTATCCTATTAACCCATCAGGGTTTTAGTCTGTAGAAGTGCTGGTATTTTATTTGATGCTTTAAGACTGGATCTGGCTCGGCGCCTATAGCTCAACCGGCTAAGGCGCCAGCCACGTACACCTAAGGTGGCGGGTTCGAATCCCCAGCCCGGACCCACCAAACAACAATGACGGCTGCAACCAAAAAATAGCCGGGCACTGTGGCAGGCGCCTGTGGTCCCAGCTACTTGGGAGGCGGAGGCAGGAGACTCGCTTGAGCCCAGGAGTTGGAGGTTGCTGTGAGCTGTAATGCCACGGCACTCTACCCAGGGGGACAGCTTGAGGCTCTGTCTCAAAAAAAAAAAAAAAAAAAAAAGACTGGATCTTATTCAACCCACAGTTTTTTGAAGATGGCAGGAAAAAATACACCGAAAGGACCAGTAAGTACTCTTTGTTAACATTTTAGACTCAATATTCTGTGTTGTTTAAATTACCAGGGCTTGCGTTTCAAGAAGGCCCATGTTACACATCCTGAACTGAAAGCCACCTTTTGCCTGCCAATACTTGGTGTAAAGAAGAATCCCTCATCTCCATTATATACAACTTTGGGTGTTATTACCAAAGGGACTGTCATTGAGGTCAATGTGAGCGAGCTGGGCCTTGTGACACAAGGGGGCAAGGTTATTTGGGGTAAGTAAATTTTTTAATATGGGTCTGTTGCTTAAAGTATGTGCCAAGTTATTTTAATACAGACAAGCTAAATAAGTTAAAACTTGATGTAAATCAGATGTAGATTTTTAGGAAGAATACTTTAATAGAAAAAGTAGTTATGAATACAGTTTTTTAAATGTAGCTTATTAGTTTCAGTTACATCAATTTTATATTCTACATTGTTAGATTTTGATGTTTTAATAAAAATCATTATAATTGAAGATGCAAAAACATATTGGAAGAAAATATATTAGCCATGTGAAAGGAGGCATACATCTAACACATAATTATACTAGTTCAGTAGTAATTAAAATGGAAATGTGTCATGCACCAAATTTTAAATTTTTCTTCCACATTTACTTAGTTTTCTGCTTTTAGTGTCTAAATATCTCTAAACTGATGTTCTTTGAAAGAATACACTACAACTTCTTAAACTCATTAACTGATACTTCATGGTAGTTGGCCTCCATTTTAAAATAGGTTAAATTGATTTGCAACTCACTTTAAACCTTTTGCATTTTCCAGGAAGAATTGTGTGGAAAAGTAGCAATGTTCTGGACAATCCACAAAGGCCTGTTAATACAGTGTAACAGCATGGAGCCGACTGTTACTTCTAAAAACACTGTATCAAAATTGTCTGTAGAACTCAAAGTTGGTCTTGAATAATTTTTTTTTTTTTTTAACAGTTTTGGCTAGGGCTGGGCTTGAACCTGCCACCCCTGGTATATGGGGCGAGTGCCCTACTCCTTGAGCCACAGGTGCCACCCAAATAATTTAATTTTTTAAAAAATCTCATTTATCCTTTATGATTCATTTTAGAAGTAGTAATTAGAAATATCTCAGGCTAAGGTTATATTCTTTAAAAGTAATTTGTATTGGGCAGCACCTGTGGCTCAGTAAGTAGGGCGTCAGCCCCATATACCAAGGGTGGTGGCTTCAAACTCGGCCCTGGCCGAACTGCATCAACAACAAAAAAGCCAGGCGTTGTGGCAGGCACCTGTAGTCCCAGCTACTCGGGAGGCTGAGGCAAGGGATCACCTAAGCCTAAGAGCTAGAGGTTGCTGTGAGCTGTGATGCTGCAGCACTCTACCAAGGGTGACAAAGTGAGACTGTCCCTTAAAAAAAAAGTAATTTTTATTAGCTAACATCCTTCCTTTTTTTGTTTTGTTTCCTCAGGGAAATATGCCCAGGTTACCAACAATCCTGAAAATGATGGATGCATAAATGCAGTCTTACTGGTTTGATAACCATTTCACACAAGTAACTTACACAACAATTGAGAAAACCAGCATTACTGTGATGTTTCAGAATGCTACCAAACAGCCTTACATGTCTGCAGTCATTAAGAGAACTATTTATTAAATTGTACAAAACATTAAAGTGGTCCAGTTTTACAAGTTGGTCTTTATTTTGGGATCCAGGTAAACTCCATGTTCGTGAAACTGAATGACTGAAAAAGCAAATATACAACTGTCATACCTCATCAGTATCTGCATCAATGAATGGGTATTCAGCATTGCAGATCTGTTATTTCTGGAAAACACATCAGTATAAATGAAAATGACTTTTAAGGCCTGGGGCCTGTGGCTCAAGCGACTAAGGCACCAACCACATATACCTAAGCTAATTGGGTCCGAATTCAGCCTGGGCCCACCAAACAACAATGACAACTACAACCAAAAAATAGCCGGGCATTGTGGCAGGGGCCTGTGGTCCCGGCTAATTGGGAGGCAGAGGCAGGAGACTGGCTTGAGCCTAGGAGTTGGAGGTTGCTGTGAGCTGTGATGCAATAGCACTATACCCAGGGGGACAGCTTGAGGCTCTGTCTCTTTAAAAAAAAAAAAAAAAAGAAAGAAAATACCTTTTAAAAAGGTTATGCACACTTTATTACGGGGGCCTAGGCTAACTCCCATATTCCAGACCAGATATGAAATCTCTTCTACTGCATTATTCATCATTAATCCTAAAAAACGGTGGCATTAACACAGGGCAATGTTTAAGTTTATAAAGTATTTAAAAGTGCAGGCAGCATCTGTGGCTCAGTGAGTAGGGTGCCAGCCCCATATACGGGTTGGTGGGTAACGGGTTCAAACCTGGCCCCGGCCAACTGCAACAAAGAATAGCTGGGCATTGTGGCAGGCACCTGTAGTCCCAGCTACTCTGGACACTAAGGTAAAAGAGTCACCTAAGCCCAAGAGCTGGAAGTTGCTGTGAGCTGTGATGCCATGGCACTCTACCAAGGGTGACAAAATGAGACTCTGTCTCTAGAAAAAACAAAAAAAGTGAGTGAAGGCACAGTTTATTAAGTGGAAACAGTTAAGAATTCTTAGACAAATCTCACCTTAGTTAATCCTTAACTTCTGAGTACAGTAAGTTTTCCCCTTCATTCACTATAGAGTGATACCTGCTTGGGATGATATTTTCTATTTGAAACATGAAAAAGTTAGAAAAATTACATTAAAATGTCTATTTGGGCTCGGCGCCTGTGGCTCAACCGGCTAAGGCGCCAGCCACGTACACCTAAGGTGGCGGGTTCGAATCCCCAGCCCGGGCCCGCCAAACAACAATGATGGCTGCAACCAAAAAATAGCTGGGTGTTGTGGCGGGCGCCTGTGGTCCCAGCTACTTGGGAGGCGGAGGCAGGAGACTCGCTGGAGCCCAAAGTTGGAGGTTGCTGTGAGCTGTGATGCCACGGCACTCTACCCAGGGGGGGACAGCTTAAGGCTCCGTCTCCAAAAAAAAAAAAAAAATGTCTATTTGCTTAGCATTTTCTATATTCTAAACTTCAGAATGGTATTAAAAACTGGTTTAAGCAGTTCCAGGTTAGTTTTAAATAGGAAAAAAGACTATAGTGACACCTTAAAGACAATTACTTGCAACTAGCTAATAAAAATAGGTCATGTTTTAGGGTTGTGATTTGGTCAAAGCATTTTTGTGACCTGTATTATACCTTTATGGCTTTGACCTGATCTCTATCTATATATTACATTAATCTGTCATCACCACATTGTTTTAAATTCTGTTTATTTTTTGAAGTCTGTCTGCAAAGTACAACCAATGTGATTAATTGTGCCTTTAACAAAATCATCCAATATCTAAACAAATTCATTATCTGAACACATCTTCATAAACAAAATCGGGGAAAAAAATTTAACACAGATGAAGAAACAATCACAAAATATAGGTTTGATTACTACTTTTTAAAACTTTCTTCCAAAAAAACTACAAGAAAACAAACGTAAGTATTTCAGTTAAAACTTTCATTTGTGAATATTTTTTCTAAGTTCTATAAATATAATAGAAGTTTTGGAACACATACAGACACTTAGGAAAAGAAAGGCTGGTTCTTGGAAATGACATTGAGTATAATATAATCACTTGATGACAGAAGCTGAACCTTTCTTACAAGTGGATTTTAACATGATTTTGTCACTAATAAAAATAGGTAACATTAATGACAAGTTCTGGAAAGTAAAAAAAAAATTGACTTCAAGTAAATTGCTGGACACTATAGAAGTGAAGTTTGCTTGTTCTTTGGGACAAAAATGAAGCAAATTTACTATCTTATACAAAGAAAGCTTGATACTAAGTTTAAAAACATAAGCATAACTTTTGTAACTATTCACACCCATGAAAGACTAGATCACACCTGAAACACCATATTGCTACTAGTGGACATACAAAGCAGAAATTTGTTTCTAAAATACTGTTACACAGATGAGTAATGTTAGTATAAATTATTTACAGTAAGATCTGTTTCAGTTTGCTGGTGTGACCAAACCTTAGAAGGTAATCCCAAAGGGTAAAGCAGAATGTTAAAAGCAGATACTCAGGTATTAGGTAAAAGCTCAAATCATGAGTACAATCATAAACCTTGGAAATATTTTTTCTAAAGTCACTGGAACCATATTTGGTAGTGTTCTGGCAAAAGCAAACCACTAGTAACTAGATGTTATCCTTACCATCTCCACACCTGACTGGAAACTTCACGAATAGAGACACTTTTAAGTAGAAGACTGACATTCTAAGTCATGCTATTTGATTTTATAAAAAAATCATAATAGAACCTCTCACCTTTAAAAGTTGTAGAAGAGCTTTATAATAAATTTGTAAATATATTGATTTCTGTGTTGTCTAGCAAATAATTTAGAACTAAAATTTTGCTAATAACCATCTTTTTTATATTACACAAGGAAATATATTCGTATGTACACAAAAAGAACTCCATAAACAAAAAACAGCTCACAAAGGATTAAGTAGAATGTGACTGGACACTCAACAACTAGACTAGCTGGTTGAAATTACACTTCAGCACTCTCTAATGCTGAAGTTTTTTCTAATGCCTTGAAATACTACAAATATCTGATAAAGCTTATTTAGCTTCCTTAAGAAGACAAATTTTATTATAAATTCTGTATTCACTTAAATTACTGCACATGGAAGTTGAGTTTTTCCATGTGACCTTTTTCCTCTATAATCTATAAATCCCAAAATAACACTATTAGAGATAATGTATAACAGACATTTTCTTCTGTGAACAAAAAATTTTGAAATTGTTTAAAATTCACTATTAAGTTTAGCAAGAATAAATTTGAACTGCTGTTACTCCCCAGCAATCATCATATGTCTAACATTTTGTAAATTCAGCAACTATATTCACATATAGTTGTCAGCTCAATCTTTTCAAAACTAGACCTGTTTAAAGAATATTTTAAACAGAACAATGAGCAATCCAAGTGAAAAAGTAATATCTAAAGGTTATGTTTTTAACTCTTAGAAATGAAAAAGGTGAAGGGTAAGAATTCATTGAATCTTTAGTTATATCCTTACTATTAACAAAAGTTTCTCACAAAATATATAAAACAGCATGAACATTAGATTCACTAGTATTAGTCATACTTTTTCACTTAATGAGTAACTGTTTTAAAAAAAAATAGTCAAAATGCATTAACTTTCTATCAGCATGAAATAATCTGGCTTAGCTCTGACCAGTAATTTAAAAATGTAAAAGATACAAGTGTTCAAAATCTTACATGAACTGTAAAGTTTATTTTGCCTGCTTAAAGGTGTTGACTGATCATCTTTCTAAAAGACCAACATCCCAAAATAAAACTTACTGACATGGTATTGCCTGACTATAGACTGAATAAACCCTTAACACAAAGTCATAACATGTTTCTTTCCACACAAGGATCAAGATCAACCTATTTTAAAAAACAGCCTAAATGGTCTCAAAACATTCTCTAAGTTAGGTACAAATTTAAGTACGAGAGTAAGATTGTTATGAGATTCTCTTTGGATTCTAAGAGTAACATTTTGTTCATTTTAAAATAAATTACAATACAAAAATTAACAATTCAGGGATTTTCTTCACATTTTCCTAGACAAAGGCCTTTGCTATGGCAACACAATGTATACATAATCAACTAGCCAGCACTCAGAAGAAACCAAGAGTGAGCAAACCAAAGGGACCCCACAATTGAAGCCTCAATTTGATTTAAGGTCTTGTAACTAACTACAGCTCCTAGGACAGCTTTCCTCCTGCCATCTAGATCTAAGATTGTGGGGTACAGATCCAAGCCTACCCAAAAATGGGTATCAACCAGCCAGCAGGTTGGAAGATCTCCTGACTGGGAAACCACTCTGAGTTAGAGAAGTGCATGAAAGTTGAGGGGAATACAAATAAGACTCAAGAATCAGGCAAACGTCAGGATTAAGGCAAAACCTTATGAAGGGGCCTCGTACTTAGAAAGTATAGATGTTAACTGGGTGCAGATAAATGTATTATCTCCACTTTATCTATCTGATTGGGACCAGATACTTCAAGTTAAATCAGATCCCTAAATTATATTAATGGATGTTTACCTGATTAAATGTTGAAAGGGCAGAGTTAGAAAAAAACAAAAATAGCAAACTAATACTTCAAATAGAATTTCAAATATTGTATTTTGTTGTGTGTAATACAGACTTCCCCCCCCCCAAATTTCTGAGGGAAAAATAAGAATGCACAATATACATGGGTAGTACTAATTCCATGTATATATATAAACATTTTAAAACCCTTTTTATTTATGTTTATGTATCATTAGCATAACTATATTAAAAAACAAATAGTAAAATTCCTTTATAATACAAAAAAGAAGTACCTAAACATAAACAAATAAAAATTTGAATTAAAAAACTAAAATGAAAGATTTTTTCCTGAAAGTTTGGGCCAAAAATGTGGCTACATATTATAGATGGGAATGCTTTATACACAGCAAAATACAGTCATTACATTATTGCCCACAAACCACAGTTAAATCTCTAACAGCACTGTTAATATCAGATGACAGAGTCATTAACAGATTTTGTGTGTACCTTTCCACAGACATTGAAGTCAATGGAAACTGCAACTACAACTACGAATAAGAGACCAAAACCAAGATACAAACCTCTGACCATGACTTTCTGTTGCTGTGCTCTCATTTATTTGAAGTTTTATTTAATTTACTGACATTTATTCTTGTTTAGGCATGTCTACATTTTAAAAAACGGTGATTAGTTTTGATATTTAAGATTAAACATCTACAACCCTCACCAAATTTTACTATTAAAACCCTTAGTATAAAAGATTTCTGTGATCCTTACATGTAATGGAAAGCTTACTACTTCCATAGTTTTTTAATTATACGTTTTGAAATACTAATGGCCAGATGTCTTGCCTGCTAAAGAAAATATAATATGATCTGGTTTTGCAAAATTGAAACATGGTTAATAAAAATAAAAAATTGCATTTACAAAAAATAGCCTGAAAAATTAAAAGGAATGGTGAATACTAGGTCCTAAAGGGAAGAGAAAAACTGCATAGTAAATAAGTTCAATTGAAATTTTGGAAATTTTTGTCCTGTGTCCCATGCTGTTTATTAATTACCATATCTTAAAAATAACAATATGTTACAAAGAGGAGGATTTATAATCTGCATTTCTTCTTCAATCAGGTCAGCTTAGCTTTCTTCTTACCAGGTCCTTTATGTCCTTTGGCCTTTCTTCTTAAATTCCGCCTGTCTACTACAGGCACTTCCACTTCTATTTCCTCTGAGCTGCTATCCACAACTTTTTCTGCCAACTGGGTAAATTGATCCAGTTGCTCAGAAGATGCTTCAGACTGCTCCTCTGACTGGTTCTTCTGCCCTGCATTCTGTGAAAATGGCACATCTTCAAGTTCAACCTCTATCAAAGAACTCTGAGGAAGAGGAGTAGATGTTTCCTGGGGCTCAGGTACCCCCTCCTCACCCTGGTCTTCCAATGAAGAAGTAATGTTGGGTGATAAATTCTCAGAGACTGGTTCTTCAGCAAACTCAGCTATCACAGAGTTTGGAAAACCAGCATCAGAGCGTTCTTCATTTGAGATAGTAGCAACATTGTCTGAACTCCCAAGATGGGCTTTCTTTCTTGAAATGAGGGACAATTTCTCTTCAGGGTGTGCCTTTTCATCAGATGGGGTTTCATCTACCAACATTTCTGAGTCAGTTATATGTGGCGTCTGAAAATAAAAAAACTCGTCAACAAATAAACTTTTCCTTGCAATAGAGTTATAAAATAAATTATCCTAGACACTAATGACATTCAACTACAATTTAAATAATTCAGTATTAATTACTTTTATTAATTATGTGTATATATTCTGAATACAACCCAATCTCTTCAAAACTTCTCACATGGTAATTTTAAGTTCTTAAGCATATAATAAAAGTAATTATTTTACTTCAAATAGGATACTTAAAAACCTTTAAGGTTCCTATCAAGATTCTTCAAAACCATGAATCAACTCAAAGTTTCCAGTTTCATGGTATAAATGAAGCCAAAACCAACAATCCCTGGGACTTGACGTTGTGCCATCCTACTAAGTTTGACTGTGGTTTCGTCAAATAATGAGTAAGGCAATGGAAGTTTTACTCATTTATTCAAGTGAGACACTAATAAAATAATACTATACAGTAGTATTTTAGCCATAAATTGAACTATTCAAAAGTTACAAAACTAATTTTTGAGCATGTAAAATTTGTTCTCTGAAAGGGTTCAGGGTTTGGTTTTAAATCAGTTTGCACATCTTTCATTAGTCTGATATCTCTCTCACCACGTCAAACTGGCTTCAGCTAGCAATACATCATTAAATACAAAAGAATAAAATTGTTTTAATTTTAGGAGGAAAAAATACAGTTCTGAGAATAATGAACATTAGTTTGTAATTTAAAACAAAAAAAGGGCTAATGTTTCATATTGTTTTTTACATCCTTCTCCTCAATACAGAACCAGGAATATAATTTTCCTAATGTAGACAGGCGCTAATAATGATGGACACTCCACACACGCGCGCGTGCATGCACGCATGCATGCACACACATCCTTCCCACAAACAACAAAATTCATAGCACATCAAAGAGGAAAAGTATGTTATGATATTGACCAAAATCCTTGGAATCAACAGTCTATCTCAGGGGGTATACAGTTTTGATATTGAGTCAAGATTTACTGTCATGTTCCAAAATAATCTACAAGACAGAATCTACTGTCAAGTTCTGAAATAATTATGGAAAGCACCATCATATTTACTTTAAAATTCTAGAAACAATTTTCAACAGCATTATTTCGTGGAACAGGGGAAGAGAGAACCTACAGGTTTTCATTTAGTTAAAAATCAAAGGTCTGGCACAAAATTAAATTTCTTTTAAAATACTCCACCAAGTTTATTTCTACTAATCTGTCCTCTAATTAAAGCAAACTAAAATTACTGTATTGGTCATAGACTATTTAAGCAATAAATACTCAAATGTTTGATAAATACTGATTTCCCCAGTTTTCTAAGCACTTCCCTAAGTCTACAAAGTAAGGCAGATATGACTAAGGTTATACCAATTCGAATTTATGGAATATTACTAATTGTATTTTCTTTTTCTTTGCATTTTCTTATACTATCAAATCTAGTATAAAAGTTAATCTTCCTAAAGGATTATATATGTTAAGGTGGAGGCAGATATATATACTACATCCCCTCCCCCCATATCACCAACATTGGCATACTTTACAAAAAATTAGGTTATTTCCCCTTTACCTTATCTGGTACATCAGCCTCAGGGGGTTTTGAAGATTCTACCACCAGTGGAACAAGATTTGTAGAGTCTTCATTGGAATTAAGAGACTGCAATTTTAATTCTTCATCTAAAACTTCACTAGTGGAGTCCTCCTCTTCAGTTATAAGTGAGGTCTTAAGAGTATCATCCATTACCTCACCATTCATAGGCTCTAATTCAGATTCCTACACCATGGGCAGGGGGGAGATCAGGACATCATTACAAACTTAATTGTCATGGAAAGTGAGTCCCTTCTTAGTCCCTACCTAGTCAAGCATCAGGACTCAAGATAAATTTACATTATAGGGTATGGGTTAAAGAGTCTTACTAGGGAAAGGGGAAACTCATGAGGCAGAATCAGGAAAAGAAACCTGTGGGTCTGAGATTCAGTGAAAAGACCCCGAACCCTTCTTATAGGGCAATCATGTGATGAACCTTTCGTTACAAAGGCTCCAGAGAGATTCTAAACTGGATCCCCGCTCTTTACATGATACCAGCTGTTTAGCATCTGGCATGTTTGAGGCCTGGGAAAGCTACAGTTTACCATGCCACAAAGAGGAAGCACTACCTATCCTAGGAGAAGCAGAGCTTAACTGCTACTTCTTGCTAAAGGAAAAGAACCCCAGTCTCAGCTAGCTCATTGTCATTCAAGTCAAGAGTCATTAATAATTCTACTCCTTGCATCATATTATTAAAATATGGAAATACAATTTTTTTTTTGAGACAGAGTCTCACTTTCTTGCCCCCAATAGAGTGGCATAGCATCATATCTCACAGCAACATCAAAGTCTTGAGCTTAAGCAATCCTCTTACCTAAGCCTTTCGAGTAGCCAGGACTACAGGTGCCCACCACAACACCTAGCTAGTTTTTCTATTTTTAGTAAAGATGGGGTCTCACTCTTGCTCAGGCTGGTCTAAAACTCCTGAGCTCAAGTGATCCATCCACCTCAGCCTTCCAGACTACTAGGATTATAGGTGTGAGCTGCCATGCCCAGCCTGGAAATGCAATTTGATTAATACAACCCCAGCAATTTCTTATATTCTTCTTGATTTACCTCAACTTAATTTCACATATTTCTAATTAATACTAGTGACATCCTAATAATAAAGGAGAATTTTATTACTATGAAAATTAGAAAACTAATGCACTTAGGTGTTCTGCCCAAAATAGATTTGGGCAGATTATGCAGGACCCCTAACACATAAAGTATAATTCAATAAAAGGGATATTGAAATCAGAGACTTTTATTTTTCTATAATAAAATTTTCTAAAGTAAATATCATTATAAACTTTTTCTAAAATATAAATTTTCTATAATATATTTTATTACTAAAATTGGCTTTATTATTATAATATCAGATGGCACAGAGAATAGATTGCACACAGAACTTTAAAATAAAACATATAAAAGGATCAACCAGAGTGGGAAAAATGTATGAATTAAATTTATAAATTTACTTTTACATTTTGGTAACTAAAAGTGAAAAGCAATGAAAGAAAAAGGTCCTTCAACTTTTAAGTTTGAGAGAGAACAGAACAATGGATAAGAAACAGGAAAAAAGGGCATGGCACCTGTTCAAGACCACCTTTGGCAACACTGCAAGTCCCAATCTCTAAACCCTTCCCCCCTCAAATGTCTTTAATTGGGAGGCTTAGACAGGAGGAACACTTAAGGCTAGGCATTCAAGACCAGCTTGGGCAACATAATGATACCTAATCTCTACAAGAAAATGTTTTTAATTAGCTAAGCATGGTGGCACACTTGCCTGTAGTCTGAGATATTTGGGAGGCCGAGGTGGAGTGATCATGTTAGACTGAGCCATACTAAGAAAGAATTTTAAGATTTTGTTGAATTTAAGATGATAGAAGAAGTCTGTCTAGAAATATTCAGTAGGCAAGTGATACTATGGGCTCAATATTGCAGATGAAGAGGTATTCGTCATCTCCAAAGAGACAATAGTTAAACACATTAGACTATATACATTTTCCAAACGTTAAACTATATAGCATTAGTCTATATAACATACCAAGCCTAGGAGTTAAAAAGGAAACAAAAAAAAAAAAAAAAAAA